ACAGCTTTCCAAATCGTTTCCATGTCTTATGAAATTTATATTTTATTTTGATAGTTTTAATCAGAGGTTTATTAAACCACGGAGGAAATTTATTTTTGGAAGTAAAATAATGCGTCGGTACATGTTTATCCACAAGCCGATCAAGCACATCATAAAAGTATATAGTCATCGATTCTACGTCGGAATTCATAGTGCTAAAAGTTGCTCCCAGTCAATCGAATTTAATGAAGTATTAATTGAGTCGAAGTCGGCTTTGTAGAAAAGGTTTTTCTTTATATTAGCAACGTTAAGCAAAGAAGAAGAAAATAATTTTAAATCTATTTCTAAAGCTTTATGATGATTATCTTGCGGTACTAATGGGTATACACTAGAAGAAACTGAACAGTTTTTATTCCAAAAAATTTAATCTAGAAGTCTGTTATTTACATTAAATTGAGAGTTGAATTGTAATAGCAACGATAAATACATAAAGTCGGCAGTGAGTATATTAGTGGTTATATTATAATGACAACAAGCATTAGTCATATTAAAGTCGCAGAAAATAAGAAAAATATCATTGGAACTAAAACTCATAAATTCGGTTACCCTATCATAGAAAGAAGTCAATTCTTCACATCTTTTTTTACAATGTCATCAAGAAGTTCGCCATAATCAACTATGAAATAAACTAATAAATCATGCTTTAACTAAAAGCCCAGCTGTGCTATTTTGTGACAAAATCCATGACATTAAATCATCGATAAGACATGCATCTGACAGCCGAAAAACAACAGTGAGGTAGCTGTTGAATCAATATCCAAGTATTTCTTTTTTTTATAGATTAAGGGTGACAAACTAGCACACAGTCTACCTGATGGTAAGCGGATGCTGTGGCCCAAAGGCAGCTACATCTATCCTGGATTAAGAATCAAAATGCAGATGCGTTGCCACCCTGAGGAATAAGATGGAATGACTCGTTTCCAGTAAAAAATATCTCCGGTTCTTTAGACTCACCATTCCATTATTTTATACTAAATAGTATTATACTCCAGGTATAAAATAGGGAATGTAGTTTTCAAATGTAACTATTTATAAGACAAAGTAAACTTTAAACGAAAAGCTGACTTCAAAGAAGTTAATTTATTAAAACAATTTCACATTCTGAAGTCGTTTTCTGGAGGGCTTTCATAAAAATGTCTTTTTAATTAAACCAAGGTAATTCAAGCAGTGTAAAATATAAAATTTAACACGACAAGGTTTCTGTCACAAGATAAACCTGGTTCTAGTCTGATAACTGCGTTATTGTGAATGTTCCTACACACGCATGCACGGACAATAGTTCTTAATAGCAAGCACGGTTAGAACAACTATCGCGTGCGTTGCATTATTACAGTTTTAAAACGGAATGCCTGTGGAACGTCCATACTATGTATTTCAGGGGAAAAGGAAAAATACAGTGTACGTGGTTCGAACCCCATACAGAAGAATTGCTCGAAAGGCCAACAAATAATTTTCTACATGCATCGGGTAAAACTCGTTTGGAACCTACAAAAAAGTATAGTCTTTCCAGCGCCCGCTTTAAGGGAGGGGGGGGGAGGGGAGGAGCAAGGCGCCACACGCACAAACTGAAGTGAAGTGCAGAACAGTGAAGTTACACCACTTAATTTAAATTTAATAACTATCTCTATCATTTAATCATTTAAAATAAGTTTTTAATTATAATCAAACTAGCGACCCGCCCACCACATTAATAGGATATAAAAGGGCGCCTAAGTAGGGTTGCCATCTCATGCAGCCAAAAAACTCACCAACTCCAACCTCCCGAGAAAAAAAAACAAATACTCCGTTACATACGTTAATTGTTTTTTAATCAATCACAGCACAGTTTCAAGTGTATACGTTACTTATTTATTTATTCTGCAAGCGATGCGTGCAACGCGTTACACTAGCAAAAAGCCTGACAAAAGCCGGACAGGCCGGACACATAAAAATTTGGCCAGACACAACCCGAAAAAGCCAAACATGTCCAGCTAAAGCCGGACAGATGGCAAGCCTGCGCCTAAGGAATCATTCACCCGGAGCTCTTAGAAGGTTAGGGTCGGCCCTGAGTCTACCTGTGCTAAATGTATGTATCCTCGTTTAATATGGAATGTTCCAAGAACCATCATGAGAGGAAACTATTGGTCGCTAAAACTAACTTTAAAATGTGTAACATAGGTGAATATGAAAACATTCTCTCTGAACCACTGTCAAATGCTGCTCAAATGGTGTATCATTTAGTTAGTATTTTGTAATTTTTGTATACGTAATTTAATAAATTCTTTTGTGTTATTTAGTTATAAGGTACAATGAGACTGACATGTTAAAAATAACAAGTCCCTTAAAAAAGAATTTAAAAAATCCTAGTTTAATATAGTCCGTTGCCCTTCCCCGGTCTAGCTGTTCCATTCGTGGCCCAGCCATAATATGCTGGAGTGAGGCGCACCCGCATAGTTTATAGAAGATTACAGGATGAAATCAGAACATGTTCAGACCAGCGAAAATTGACCGCACGACTAATATAATGTTTTATAATTCCCAACGTAAATACGTTTATGATATAAATGCTTGAAACTAAATTTGCTAAAATACACAAAATTTGCAGTAAATTACAACATTTATTGCTTATATTATATGTAACAACAACAGAAGTGAAGAACAACAGAAGAGGTAGAATGGATGCACGGCATCCATTCTACCTCTATGTGTTCTGTCGGTTTTGGTGGCGCCTTACTCTATTTCGTGCGTGGCTTTTGAAAGAGGCGGCTATGGGAAACGTCAGTAAAATTTTATAGCTTTTGTTAGATGACGGTATCACTTGTTTACATAAATTTTACATAAACGTAAAATACTTGTATTGGCGACGGGCAGTATCTTTAAAAGTGCGAGACGTCTGGTACTGGGATCATCAATCCGCCTGCCAAGGGTGACGATGGAAAAAAGTGCATCCAAAAATTGTATTATCATACTACACTACACTACTAATTCACATAAACAGTAAACACTTGTTCTATGCAAGATTCGAACCCGAGGCCTACAGGACCGCGCCCTACCGAGCCAACAATGTTTAACTTTAATTATCGAGACTACTAAATTAAAAATAAAAGAAATTAACATTTATGTAAAATTTCTTTTTCTTCATAATTTTAGATTCCGTATCTTCAGATGAAATTTAAGAATTCGTTAATTTTCAGTATCGCAGTCAATGAAAGCGAAAAGTTCGGGACACATTTCGAAGCTTGCCTAATTAAATGGTTTCAATTAAAAACCTGATGAAACATGATATTCATTTCCATAAAATTTTGTCTATAGGTAAATGCAACAGGACATCCCACTTCTGATCTCGGAAATACATCAGGATAAGTTTAATTTAAGTTTAATTTAATTAATTTAAAATAATAAAAGTGTGAGAGCGGATGTTCAACATGCTCTCTTGCTTAAGCATTTAATCACTATCAGAATAAAACAGCGTAATGCACTATACATTCTTCTATCATTCTACTATCATTCAGTATAGGCAATTATAGTTCGATCAACCGTATTAATATGTCCTCGTCACAATTACACATTAGTTTAACGTGAAGAATACAATTACATGATAACACCAAAGTATTCAAACCAACAGCAACACTACCCATATCAATGTAACACAGGGCAGCCGCTAAGCAACACCACCTTCCTTGCCTGCATCAGAAAAACCACCACCACGGACAGAACCACGATACTATCTTAGCACTACTACTGCGTAGACTGACTTCAACGGAATCTCCTGCGCTCGGCACCTACATTGAACTTTATACTGCACAAACGAGTGGGGTTTTACCGACCTACCCTCCATTCTAACCTGCCACCATCGATCTCATCGAGAGTGACGAATCCTCTCGCTCACCCTCGATCCATCTGATATTTTATAGACGCGCCGACATGTTTATATGATATGTACGTTCAAAAAAAACTTTATATTTTTCAATAAACGATGAAAAACATTCCACCACAATTATTTACATCGTTGCATTATCAAACTATTTGATCGCACTAAAATAATACCACCAGTGGACATCTATCCAAAATGTAGATGCGTTGTCACACCTGAAGAGTAAGGAAGAATGCCTCGACACTAGTAAAATAATTTTACCAGTTATTCAAAATGCTTTATTTGATTACATATAACACATTAAAATATATTATAAGAGCATTTTTTTATATACAGGTAAGTGCATGCTGTGCCCATAACCATCTTCATCTATCTTCGATTAAAAATCAAAATGCAGATGCGTTGTCATTCCTGAGGAAGTTGGAATGCCTCGTTTCCAGTAAAAAGTCTCCGGTTCTCTATACTCACCATACGGAACACAGCAGCATTGAGCTGCTATTTTACGTTGGTATTCTGTGAAAGCGTGGTCCTTCCCCGATCGAGCCGACCCATTCGTGCTACAACCATAAAATAGCTGCAGTATGGCTCTACCACGTAAGATAACTTTTTCGTAGGATAAGTAGCACTATCGTAGTAAAGTAGTGTAAGTACCTTAAGGTAGTCTGGGCAAGACTGAATAGATAATAATCTTTATATATAAAAATTACGTGTCATATTGTTTGTCCACGATGAACTCCTAAACTACTGAACTGATTTCAATGAAATTTAGCACACTGTGTGCAGTTTGATCCAACTTGAGAGATAGGATAGTTTTTATCCCGATAAGTGACCCTCAAAAATTTTTATTGCGAAATTAAGGATTTTTATAGGAAGGGTCGTTGAAAAGGGCAGAACAACGTCTACCTGGTCGGCTAGTAATTATATAAATGTCAGTGGTAGCCTCATACTGGTAAGCGCAGTGATATGCGACAACCCAATAGACGGGTTACAAACTTCATCAACATGCAGGGAATCGATGAATGCAAACGGCTGAGGACAGTGCTTTGTGGACTTGTGATGGGCTGTAATGATGAATGATGATGATGAATAGATAAAAAGTATTACATACCGAGTTGCAAGTATTGATATCTTTGACGGCCCCAGAGTCGAGCAAGTCGACGACTGTGTCGAGCTGACCGGCGCGCGCTGCGCGCAGAAACGCTGTGTTTGGGTCTATCTGTAAAATAAAAAAGGACAATAAGCAATTCTTGTCTTTCTATTTTGAATTCTGAGAAAAAATACTGTAAATAATTAAAGAAATTATATTAATTATTAAACTTTGTTAATATGTCTTATAGTAGTCCTACTCTATTGAACTTGATATCATTGCAATGATCAGAAAACGTATTAGTGATATATTATTTGTTTGGTCTCGCATTTTAGAAGCTGCACCCCGACAACAGTCAGGATATTTAATTTGTGAAAATTTTGAGTGGGTCATTTTTCCATCTGTACCTTTAATTTTATAACATTTTCCTTGAGCAATATTTACGACACCGTCGATACAAAATGGAATAATGAATACAGTTATAATAATAATTATTTTTATTTGCAATGAAAATTATAATTACCGACACTCGGACTTGATTTGTATATTATTAAGTAATTGTTAGCATTAAAAATAGATAAATGAAGATATGAGAAATAGATAAATAAGTTATCGGTACTCGGATTTTTATAAATCTTTATATATAAAAATTACGTGTCACGTTGTTTCTCCGCGATGGACTCCTAAACTACTGAACTGATTTCAATGAAATTTTGGACACTGCGTGCATTTTGGCCCAACTTGAGAGATAGGATAGTTTTTATCCCGATAAATGACCATCAAAATTTTTTTATTACGAATTTAAGGATTTTTATAGGAAGGGTCGTTGGAAAGGGCAGAACAAAGTCTGCCTGGCGAGCTAGTAATATTATAAATTTTAAGGATTTACCCCAAAAGTGTACGTTAGGAAAACTGCAAGTTGTCTAATTCAGTTAATTTTTATCAAGTTATACTATATTTTAAAATTAAATATTTTAAAGTATTATTATTTTTAATTATTATTAAGTATTATTATATTTTAAACGTAAATACTTGAAAATGGAGTCTTCACACAAAAAAAATGAGATTAGGATTAAACATTTTTTCAGCTTTTCTCACAAAATAATTTTATTGTAAAGCTTTGTTTCTTAAGTTTAATTAAAAGGATCTGTGTAAACGCTTTGATCTAAGTTTGAGATTGTTCTGAGGTTGTTAAATATTAAGCATATTTTCTTACTGAAATTCAACATAAATGAAAGCTTTTGTCTTTACCAAAGGCGGTGAGTATAACAGATAACATAAAAGAATACGAAATTATTTTTTGTGTATAATTTGTAATTACATAGTACATCCATTTAATCCATTTCAGCCTTTAAAAGTTTACTGTAGAACATAGACATCACCCACATTTTTGCCATAGTTGCCACGATTGGCAAAGGCAAATTTAAAAAAAAAATATTTTTGAGTTGTTGGTAATATATTGCTGCCAATCTATCTCCTGTTTCAGTTTCCCTCTGTAACACATGACACCCACGGCTCGATATGTAGTAGTGGATACTCTTACACCGCCACTACACACTAACATACATTTTGTAAAGTTGGTTCAAAACTGCTAAGCTACGTCATCATTATAGTTATCTCTATATTCGTTTAATCAGTATAGTATGTATTTTATATAATCGTTATCTCATTCTCTTAGGTATTATATAGATACGAGTACCTATGTGTGTATATGTCTACTTTTGTAATTTAAAAATATTTTTTGTTTTGTTCTCATAAGCCGCCTTCGTAGTGTTATCACTGCCCTAAGGTTGACTGGCAAAGAATGCTTTTAGCATTAAGTTGTATCTTTCCATGTCCGTAGCTCTACATATCCATCGGGGTTACATGCGTATTATATAAAAATTTTAACTAAAAAATTCAAGGAATGATTTTAGAATGAATGAAAATCATGAAAAAAAAAATGAAAGAAAATACATTTGTCTGCATAACGACAACATTAATAAGCTACTCGACTATAAAAGCTATCAAATTATGTGAAAGCCTGACCACAGTATATATCCATTTTAAAATTTCGAAACCAAATCACACAGATAATAGGGAATATTAGGATGACGTTTGTTAAAGTTAAATTTAACTAAATAATATTGACAAATTTGATTTAATTTATGTGATTTTTTTTAAATAGTACAAACATTAATAAAGAGAAATGGCTTGGTAGAGCCATGCTACAGCTATATTAATAATAATAACAGCTTAATGCTGCTGTGTTTCGTTTGATGAGTTTAAAGAACCGGAGACCCTTTTTACTGGAAAAAGAGACTTTCCAACTTAGTCCTCAGGGCTGACAACGCAGCTGCATTTGATTCGCAAACGAGGATAGATGTAGATGTCTATGGGCCACAGCACATCTGATAATACACTCAAAATACATGCTTTTATTTTTATAACATTAGTTTAATACAAATGACACCAGTGGTTACAAGACATAAGTACGCAGCACATATTAAATGATTCGATTTTTGTTTTTGTAGTTTAACCAAAAAAATACAATTTTTTTGGTTGTAGGTCACTATTATATTTAGATTAAGAATTAAGTAAATAATTATAAATTTTTCGTGGCATACGGTTATTAATCAAAAAAAGATTAACATAATCTTGACAACTTTCGAGTGTAGGTCTCAAATAAATTACCAACAAATTTGTATGCCGATGCATTTTTTATAAAAAATATATATTTTGCAAGCCCCAAAACCAAAATCAGCTTGTTATTAATAAATTTTTTCAAGTCACCATTCTGGCATGTTAGAGCTGGGGGTCACTCGGAAGGTACCATTCACTTTGTATGCCACAAGTTTTTCTCAGTTTTCCATCGTATTTTCTCGAAGTATTGATTTTTAGAAATTGTTATTATTTAATTTGGGACACTCATCAAATCGACGTGTTTCGCTCCCTATCGCGCTTTTTCCTCCCACTATCAGAATTTGGTCCAATGATAAAAGTTGGGTGTCTCGTCAAAACGAAGCTGTGTATAAACTTTCAGCCTGTTATTAATCACTGAAATCCCTTGTATGTGTGGGCCCGTGGACTATTTATTTTAACACTATAAAATACTTTACAAACCATCAAATCTCCGAGAAGAACGTTAGTGGCAGAGACAAACACCGACAACGAGGTGATCACAAATTTTATCATGGAATACTAAAGCTGCAGGTAGAGCGAAGTCTGCGCGTTTAAAGCTGTAAAGCCGTGAGGATAAATCTCGTTGACTTATATTTTACTAAGAAAAATAATACATCGCAAACTTTACATGTATATTTTATCAGTCTTGGTATATCGGTTTTCATGAATTTTACATAGGAGCATTATAAAATTTTAAGTTTTTTTTAAAATTTATGTCAAATATTGAGTTTTAAAAAAAAGTTAAATTTAAGTCTTAGTATATCATCATTATCATCATCATCATTAAAGCCCTTTACAAGTCCACTGCTGAACATAGGCCTCCCCCAAAGAATGCCACAAAGCACGGTCCTGAGTCACCTGCATCCATCGACTTCCTGCATGTCTTACCAGGTCGTCACTCCATCTCGTGGGGTGACGCCCTACACTTCGCCTACCGGTACGAGGCTGCCACTCGAGAACCTTTCTTCCCCATCGGTTGTCGGTTCTTCGAGCTATATGGCCGGCCCACTGCCACTTCAGCTTACTAATCCGTTGGGCTATGTCGGTTACTCTGGTTCTACTGCGGATATCCTCATTCCTAAGTTTATCACGCAGAGAAACTCCGAGCATAGCCCTCTCCATAGCTCGCTGAGCGACCTTGAGCTTCCTCATACGGCCAGCAGTGAAGGACCACGTCTCAGTTCCGTAAGTCATCACTGGCAACACGCACTGGTTGTACAATTTCGTTTTCAGGTTTTGAGGTATGTCTGACTAGAAGATGTGTCGTAGCTTCCCGAACGCTGCCCAGCCGAGTTGAATCCGTCGATTGACCTCTCGGTCGAAGTTGGACTTACCTAGTCGGACTATTTGTCCCAAGTAAACATATTCGTCAACAACTTCGAGCTTAGTGCTCCCAACAACTACCGGCATAGGTGTGACATGGACATTGAACATGATCTTTGTTTTGACCATGTTAATCTTAAGACCTATCCGTTGGGAAACACTATCGAGGTCATTGAGCATAGTGCTTAGGTCCTCCAGCGATTCTGCCATAAGGACTATATCGTCGGCAAATCGAAGGTGAGTGGTGTACTCGCCATTGATGTTGATACCGTATCCTTTCCAGTCCAGAAGCTTGAAAACGTCTTCAAATGCAGCGGTGAAGAGTTTCGGGGATATGACGTCACCCTGTCTTACACCTCTCTGCAATTGGATAGGTTTCGTACTCTGATTCTGTACTCGGATAGCCATCGTAGCCCTACTGTACAAGCACTTCAACACTTCGATATACCGACAGTCAACTTGGCACCGCTGAAGGGACTGCAGCACCGCCCAAATTTCGACGGAATCAAAGGCTTTCTAATAGTCCACATACGCCAGACATAGTGGCAAATTGTACTCTTCGGACTTCTGTACAATTTGCCGAAAGGTATGTATGTGATCTATGGTGCTAAAGCCCTTTCGGAAACCGGCTTGTTCGGGAGGCTGGAAGTCGTCAAGTCTGCGCGCGAGACGATTCATAATGACTCTCGAAAACAGCACGTAGACGCGGTTCAGAACGGAAATCGGTCTGTAGTTCTTCTAGATAGAGCGTTGTCACCTTTCTTGAAGAACAAGACCACCGCACTTCTGCTCCACGCCTCCGGTGTAATGCCACCATGGAGGACGGAATTAAAGAGCTTCTGAAGGATTTCAAGTACCGGTCTTCCACCCGCTTTCAGAAGCTCCGCTGTAATTCCATCCTCGCCTGGGGCCTTACCGTTTTTAAGGTGCTGGAGAGCCATTCTAATCTCGCTTAGACTGACGTCCGGGATATCTTCGGAATGGTGTCGGATGAGACTCGCTCTTGGATCGTTACTCACACTTGCGTGTGGCTCCAACGATGACGTGTACAGCTGCCCATAGAACCTCTCAATCTCACTCAAAATCTCAGGTGTCCCGGAATCGATGCTGCCACATTCTGTCTTCAGCTTTGACAGTTGGCTCTT